TGGGAAAAATCGTTGGTGTCAATTTCGCTTTCCAATAACAAAATCAAGATAATGAAATCGTAGGAACCAAACTGTGTTGTAGACAATAGTTTCTGCCCTAACGGATCCTTCGATACTCTGGCATCGTTATATAAAAGCAACATTATTTAGCGTCTGATACTGCTGTCAATGCACTACACTTGCTGTACACTAATTCTACTAACCCGACGTCTCGGCTACGGCAGTTTTATTGATGTTTTTCCATCCATCCATCCATCCATCCATCCATCCATCCATCCATTCCACCCAACTCCTACAAATTGACCGACTGCAAATTATAATTTTGCCAAGCATTTTTGCCATAATCCTTATACTTTTATCCAGTCAGATACTTCGAACATTACCGTCGTTCCTATTAAGATTGGTGTTTTCGCTACGGTCACACGTTTTTAATTTGGGTAGAAAGTTTCAATTATTCCGAAAAAATCCTGCTTTCCAAACTAATCTGCTTCTTGTTTCTCTGGTAATTAAAATGCCCCGTTGACTGATGTTACTTGCTGCTTTTAAATATACGTAAGCAGTTACATGCACTAGAATTGCAAAACTCTACCGCTACAAGTATTACTAGGTGGATGAGAGATAAGAGAGTGCAGTATCTTCTGCGCAATTCTGCTAGCACTTGAAACGAATGCATACGCAAATCGTTGTCAGGTTCCTACCTTGCCGTGGGACAAATGGTGACCATCGTCATTCGCGATAGTGAACTTATACTGACATATCTAAGACACCAATCGAACACTTACAGTTCAGCAGCTGCGCCTAGGCACATGCTCATGCTCTGCCAACCACTTGCGCTCGATCCCTCTTCCGGTTTTCTCGGCTCCGCTTTCATACGGGGCCCAGAAGGGTGAGAGAAGAGAGAATGTGGATTCCTGTTTCTGATAATGTAGATTCCGTTCTATTCCGCTATAACCATAAAATAATTAACAGGCCTGTCCTGGTCCCTGCGCTTAACTTGCTATAAGGCACCGGAATGTACGGTTGAACTGTTATATCGCGATTATCATCACTGAATGACGAAACTTCTGTACCGCTCCTGTCTATCCTCTGACAAAGACATCTTGATGCGACATCATTGTTGCTGCTGATGACAATTAAGTATATTTTTTAGACTCCTTTTCCATGTTCTATCGAGATAAATATTTCAAAACTGCTAGGCATGATAAATGGGCCAGAAGCAGTACAATACCAGTATTTACCGTCCTTGTCAATCCATATGGACCTCCTGTAAATACATTTATAATTGCGCGAGTCTCAACCTACTTATTTACTTGTTTCATCAGGGGGACCGCGACTCACAAACTAGTAGTGATGGAGGCAACGTGGAGGATATGCTACTAAGTATGTTGGATGAGCGTGATCGTCTCATGGTGGCCCTCAGGGAGGCTCGGGAGGAAGTACAGTTGACCCGGACGCGTCTTGCTGAGGTAGAACGAGAACGCGATGCACTGCAGGCCCAAATTGCAAGTACCATCCCTAAGGTCTGTCGCCTCGTGTGCTTTCTCTCTTTGTCATCAGATTACTTATTGCTTACGTGTCAGCCTTCTACGCAGCTTATTGCCCATTTTAAATCTTGGTAAATTTCTGAGTAAATTAAGGAGCACTCCTAGCGTAAATCCTTTGAAACAAAGCTTTTCACTTCATATGCTGGGCGACTTTACCTATGGTAAATGTAAGTCGTCCAGGCGGCAACAATCCAACCCGTTTACTTCAACCCAACAAAAGTTGCCTCTTCAACCGCTATTGACTCGAAAATTCCGTATTCAAGTTGTGTCGACATAACCAAAGTCAAAAAAGCGCGAGAGAATCCCATTTGAGTACTCAGTAACTTGTATAAAAACTGAAGCCAGATCCTATAAACAAAAAAA